TACTTCAACATTACAAAGATTTACTCTTTTAAAGAGTCTTATAGCTTGGCTTTTATTAGATCTTTGTTCTATTTGGAGTTAATTTTTGCATATGGTGTGAGGCAGAGGTGTAAATTCACTCTTTCCATGTGGATATCCATTGTCCTAAAATGTTTTGTTGACAAACCTATTTCTTGGTATCCTTGTAGAAATCAGCCGATTTTATTTCAGAACTCTTAACTGTGTCCATTGACTGACAAGTCTGCCTTATGCCAATTCCACACTCTCTTGGTTAGAATAGGTCTGTCACCTGTTATTTTGTGTCTAGTCTTGGGTGAGGACATTAGGGAAAAATAAGGCTGATATATTTTTCATGTAAGGGCCCATCTAAGGTGAGGTTAGAACTTTTTTAGTTAGGACCCAGACAGCCCTGGGTTTTCTGTACTTCCCTAATGGAGCCATTGCAACATCTTCAGTTGGATTTTGGCATAAGTAAAGATTTGGCAAAATATTTGTAAATAAGAGGCTCTTCTCCTGCATGTGAAAGTTGGTGAAAAAGTGTCAGATTTTCAGTTCTTTCAAAGGGGAGAATCTGAACCTTGTATTTAGCAGGCTTGGTCTTTGATGGGCCCACAGCTGGATTATAGTGTGTTGTCAGTTTGCTTTTCCTGTATGCTTGGATCTTTTTACAGTTTTAGCAGAGCTAAAACTTGCTCTGCCTGACTCGCAGAAGAGTGTCCACACCAGCAAGTTACAGTGTGACATACTATCTACCAGCTGGAGCTTTCATTAGGCTTCTGCCTTTTGTCCCACTAATGGCCCTTTCCTGGTTCTGCACCCCATCCAGGTTCACACTTGGGTTTAGCTGCCCATTTTCTTGGACTCCTGGGCAGTCCCAGCTCTTCAGTCATTGTGGGCTCAGTCCTTGTCTCCCATGACCTTGACACTTGTGTTTCACTTGGCGTTGTCTGGTTTCCTCTGAGTGGTCTCTGGGCAGTGTGTTGGGGGCATGAATGCTGCTCCATCTCACTGTGGTCATGTCAACCTTGATCTCTGGCTGAGATTTTCCCACTTGAAAGTTACTTTCTCCCTTTTGCACTTCACACTCTGCAGATAGTGTGTTCTTCAGACTCTCACCTGTTGACTTTTGCATCTGTGGGTCTTCCCTGCTTCCTATCACTGTGGCATTCATGGTGTTCGATTTCATGTTGTTCCTCTTATTTCCTTGACACTTCTTAAGTAGGATTCTTTGGAGAAGAAAGCTGTCCCTCCCCTTATTTGATTCCACTTTAAATTTTTTATTGTAAAGATGTCTGAATGCTTATTTTATTTTGTGGGTTGTAATCCAATCTCATCTTTAGTTCATCCCACTGGGGTGACTCCATCCATGTATGTCCCTCCCGCGTTCCCATCATCTGAGCATTTCCTTCCTCTCCGGCCCCACAGATGCCCCACACTGATCTTGTGTGTCCACTGCCCCAGCCCTGGAGTTGTCCAGGCTCTTTGCAGGCTCCCGATGTTGGAGAACTGTACTTAGAAACCACATTGTGGGGCTGGGTGTGCTTCATGTCACAGAGTATCCTGGCTTCCAGGTCCCGTCCCATCAGCCGACAGGGTTGGGAGTCAGGACACCAACTGTGTGTTCATACACATCTCTACTTCCATCTCTTCCGTCCATCCGTACATACATCTTTGGAAGCTCAACTTCATGCTACTAAGCAGTAGGGTGTGGAAGTCACTGGGCCCTTCTGAGACTCGAGTGACACCCAAATTGTGAGGGTAACATGGAGTCCCCTGCAGAAGGGTCACTGTTGGGCTAGAGGCATGGGTAGTAGCAAGAAATGTCATGTCCCTTGTGAGGGTGGCTTCGGGCTTGTGGCCCTGGGAGGAATAGGCAGGGCTGGGCACTAAGCCACCCTGGATCAGGTAACTGAGTGTGCAGGTGAAGGGACCCCTTTATTTTGGGCCCTGAGGCTTCCCAGGTAACTCCCTACCCTCAGAGCCATATCCGTCCCAGGGCAGGACATGGGCATGTGGTTGGGAGAGACCCTACCCTCTGACAGGCTCGTCCCACCAGGAGTCAGCCTGGGTGACTGAGGTGACCCTTGGGCAAGTAGGTGGCAGTCCCAAGGCAGGGGCAGTCCCTCAGGATTCAGTGCAGTGTGGTGGTATGGCTAGCTCCTTTCCTATTGCCTGCTGCAGGTGCCCCCGGCCCCCTGCTGGCTGTTTGCAGAGGAGCCAAGGGTAAGACAGAAGTGCCTAGCAGCATTGTTGCACAGCAGTTAGATCTGGGGCCCTGGGTTGTCATTGCAGGCTGCTCTGGTGCTGCAGCTGACTTCCCATGCCAGCTCTATTCTTAGTGCCCCAGATTTGCCCAGAGCCCACAGTGAGGTCAGCGGACTGGGGCCAGGCAAGGACGTGACTCAGACCTAGTAGCCCCAGGCCTTTCAGTTTGCTATTCTCTAAATTAGCAGGCTTGTTTTTAGAAGTGCTTCAGATTTACAGATGGGACAGATACGACAGAGTGCCTGTCTTACCCTTCCTCCATTTTCCTATTGTTAAAGGTTCACTCTGGTGGGGCATTTGTACAGTTGGTCATTAGCGAATCAGTGTTGCCCCATTATTAACTAAATGCCACATACATTCTGACTACCAGTTTATTCCTGCACCCTCTCTCTGTTCCTGATCCAGTGCAGCGTCAACGTGACACAGTCACCACATCTCCTCATGTTCCCTTGGTCACTCACCTTGGGCAGTTTTGAGGAGGACAGACAGACTGTCTTCCACTAGGCTTGTCTGCTGTTTCATGGTCAGACATGGGCCCAGGTGGAAGGGAAGGGGCCTCCTTGTCACATCCTGCCCAGGGCCTGAGCCCTCCACATGGTTGGTGACCTGTGTGGCTAATGCTGGCCCCAAAGTCATCCATCAGGTCTTCCCACCAGGCAGTGCCTCCTTCCCTGCTTTCTGTATGGAAACATCAGGGAGGGTGTCACATGCAGGGGGCTATGCTAAAGATTGGGAGCACCTGAGACCCTCCCGTCCTTGCCCTTGGTCTTGGGGCCAGGTCTGGGGCCAGGTCTCAGCATCCCAGAGCCTCCCAGGTGGCAACTGGCCAGCCTGGGGGCCCTCACCCAAGGAAGCAGTAGAGGTGGCTAGCCTGGCTCCCTTCCCACTGTGCCAGGGCCAGGGTGGACAGCAGCCCCAACTTGGCCTGGGCCCTGAGACTTGGGCTTGACCTCAGCTCTGGAGCCACTAGCCTCCCAAGCAAGGGTAGGAGGAACTATGGTCTCAGAAGCCTGGTGGCATCTGTTTGCATAATGGCACACCGTGATCTCTTTAGCTGCTCTTAGGGCTTCTCAATCTTTCAGACCAATGTTGGTGGGTGGCCCACAGTGTAATGAGGGAAGACAGTATGCAAAGATATGATTATATATGACATGGAGACACAGGAGCCCATTGAGACGAGGGCAGAGCTGGAGCTGGCAGGACACAGGGGAGCAGCCTGCCCAGCCCATGGGCTGAAACTTTCCTCCACCCCTGTGATCAGGGATGCATGTATAGCAAACTGTTTGTTCCCTTCACTGCTCTGACAGATGACCACAGACCAAGTGGCCCAAAGCACACATTGCTTCTTACAGCCAGAGGCTATGAGCCTTACTAGGTTGCAATCCAGGTAGGGCAGGACTGCTCCCTCCCAGATGCGTTCGTGTGTCCCAGCTTCTAGAGGCCCTGCATCCCTTGGCTCGTAGCCTCTGACCTCCTGCTTCCCTCTTACCTGGACCCTTTGGTGACACTGGGCCCCAGATGGTGGGATGCTCCCAGCTCAGGGTTCTTAGCTTGATCCCATGTGCAGGGTCTCCTCTGCTCTGAGAGGTAACCTAGCCACAGGTTCTGGGAATGAGGGCTTGGCTACCTCTGCTGGCCATAGTCACCTCAAGAGTTCCCAGGTGTCCAGGGCACAGACTAGTGCTTGATGGCAGGGTTGGGGAGTAGGGAGACTTTGCCCCTGGCCAGGAGGAAAGGGCAGTGAGGGCCCTGGGAAGTACAAGTAGTACAGAGGAAGGGGTGTGCAGCCTGTGGCCCCAAAATCCACTGCTCAGTGTGGGCTTCAGTCTAGGGGTGAAGCCTGGTAAGAGAGAAGGAAATCATGAATTGATTGGGCCCGATAATGTTGAGAAAACCACTAAAAGTAGAAAACATCAGAGGATGGTGTGTGTTATAAGAGTGTTTGTCAAATTTGTGTTATTTAAACCTTCTGCTGGATCACAGAAAGCATGTGGGGACTTAACAAAACTAGAGCCCCGGGGGATCAGCATCCCTTCCAGAAGCTGGAAACCCCCTCACCCCCAGAGGACTTGGAGTTGCAGGTCAGACAGAAGTCCACAGTGGAGCTGAGGGCCTTCTTGTGCAGAGGCACAGGCTAGGAAGTGGCAGGCTTGGCCTTCAGAGCTGCAGACTACATTGTCAAGGTCTTATATCACAGAGTTTAGCCTCCCATCCTACCTCTGTCACCAAATGCTGAGTGTTTGAGTTCTTGTGCCCACAACTGTTGGTCACTGTCCAGATAGGTCCTGACCTCCATGGGCCACAGCTCCCGCAGCCCCTGCCTTACTTGTCCTGCACTCTTGCTGTGTGGGGGTGTGAATGGAGTGTCAGGTGGCTTTTCCACGTGACTTTTCTGCTTTGGAGGAGGCAAAACCTGTTAAAAAGTCTTTCAGCGGCTGTCTGTGGCTTAAGGGTTCCAGAATCTTTGGTGGTAATTTGACTATTGACGGAAGCCCTTGCTGCTCCAGCTCCTAGTGTTTAACAGCTAAGCTTAACGTGAGCAGTCATTGGGAGACGTTAATTAGGCAGAGTGCTTCAGTTACAGATGTCATGTTCTTGAAAACTGGTGAGGGTTTGGAAAAGTTGGAACACAGGCCAGTGTCCAGTACTGCATGGTTGCCTGGGAAGAGTGTAATTTAGAATGAAAACCTGAGATTGCAGAGGTTTAGTGAATGGTGTTTGTTTGCACATTGTAGGAGCTGTCCCTGTCACTGGAGGTGACTGACAGGAAGAAATTCTGCTGATTACTGGAGCACCCATCAGCCAGCACCTTGGCCACCTGGAATCTACCTGGCAACTCAGAAGTAAGTGAAACAGTGGCTGCAGCAGGCCCAGGGTGGTCATCCACCTTGTGCAACGCTGCAGGAGGAGGTGGTGACCCGCCCTGTTGATAGTTCCTGGGTGTTGGGGCCATGCTGTCCTTAGACAGAACAACCTCCCTACCTTCCCAGTGCAGAGGTGGTTCTTTGAACATTTCTTCACTGAGCTCATAAGCTCCATGTGCACACTTCTGCCTCTTAGCAGCCAAATTCCAGCTCCCTTTTGAGAATTCCAGGGCCTCTGCCCCTTGTGCATCTCGGGTCCCCTATGACACCTCCTGTGGGTAACATAGGATACATTCACTCACCCATGCTAGGAAGGGGACAGGACGGTTACAGCATGCGTGGGGATGGTCTCTACCAAGGCCTTTCTGCAGTGCTGAGGATGGAACCCAGAGCCTTGTGCATGCTAGATAGGAGCCGTACCCCTGAGCTCTCCCCCAGCCCCATGTGACACTTTGATACATGCATACGGCGTGTAATGTGTAAACCAGGTTAAAGATGCCTGTCTCCTCAAGCATTTTTCATTTATTTCTCCATGCTGAAAACATTCCGTGTCTTTCTCCCAGCTTGTTTAAAATGCAGTACTGTGATCTGTGGTCACCTATAGTGCAGTAGCATGCCATCGCTGATTTCTCCTGCTAGGGTCTACGTAATGCTAGCCATGTCTGGCCATACATCAAAATCTTAAGGTCTTGTACCCTTGTCCAGTACTGTAACAAAGCTAACTTTGGACATGCACTTTCATGTCTGTGCACATGATGGGTGATGTCTCCAGGCTAATCACAAACACCCCCTAGATCAGGCGTGGCAGCTCAGCCTATAATGCTAGCTACTTGGGAGGTGATTGGGAGTATCACAGTTCAAGGCTCACCTGGACAAATAGTTTGCAAGATTCCATCTCAACCAATGGCTAGACATGGTGGCAAAGGGAAGCACAAATAGGATTATGGTTCAGGCTGGCTTGTGGTAAAAGTGAGACCCTATTTCAAAAATAACCAACATGAAAAGGACGGGCTCAAGCGATAGAGTGCCTGTCTAGCAAGCGCGAGGCCCTGAGTTCAAGCCCCAGTACCTGCCAAAAGCAAAACAAGACAGAAACCAAAACCAAAAATCATCTCTAACTGTGGGCTCCATGTGGTGCTGTGTTCTCCAGCTCTGGGGAATGAGGATGTTCATGACGTCTGAGGCCATTTTGGTACCTCCTCCTGTACTGTTGTGATGGAATCGTTTTTAAAAAATTAAAACCAACGTAGAAGAGAGAGTAGAATGTGGAGGAAGCATAGGCCTTCAGGGTAAGAGACATGATCGTCACTTTTCTTCTGCCACCTTTGGTTATTAGTAGAACCCTGAGCAAGGGGACAGGGGATTGTCATTTGTTTTCCCTTGCACAGTTTAGGGATACTCATTATCCCTCCCTACTGGAAGTGTGCTTTGGTGGCAAGGACCTGACTGAGATGGTGGCATCTCTGGCCAGATCTCCTGGGACTTAGATCCTTGGGAGCAGATGGAGTGGGGCTGGGAAGAGGAGAGGAAGAGATGCCCCTTAGGGCCCAGGACCTTTTGCTTTAGTGCTCATCGAGTCCCCATGTCTTTCCATCATACATTGGCCATTTCCATTTGTCACTAGTTTTGTAACTTTCCCAGGGCTCTGTCCAGTATAGCAAATACTGTGTTCTTTTTGGGCCTCCTACTGCAATCTGTCTAGTCTCGAACACCTGCACCATCAAGGCCCAGAGACCTTGCCAGTCCTCAGCATCTGGCTCATGGGGGACATGGGTTGATTGTTGTACACAGGGTAGCATTCTGTGCCAAGCACCACTGTTCTCAGACAGACACGCACGTGGCTGGCAAGGGGCTGTCAACTGGCTATTTCTCACCTGCCGTTGGGGGTAGCTCTCTGCCTTCATTCTCCATCCTGCCCCTGGGGAAGTCCATCTCAGGGCCAGAGTCTAGGTGGGGACATTGTGGGCATCTGTGCCGTGGGCTGTGGGAAGTCAGGACACCACCCAGCCACAGCAATGCCATGTGGGCAGGGCTGGAGCTCGCTGTGGCCAGAGCATCCCAGCCACAGCACCTCCCTGAGTGGCCTGAACTCCCTACCCAGAACCCATGTTTGCAGAGCACTGGGCGAGGGGCAGACAGGAGGGTGGCCTCAGGCCCATTGTGCTCATAACCAAGAGAGCCCTCTCAGGCTGACCTGGAGTGCCCTGTCTTGTCACTTATCCCTGGGCTGGTTCTTCTCCTGGGTTGAGGAGGAGCTGGTCAGGATGGTGAGAGATGGCCTCTGGGATGGGGGTCATGGGTATCAGGGAGATGGGCTGAGAGGGAAGCCAGGATGCTCACCCAGGGAAAAAAATGGGAGCTGGCTTGGCCCAGGCCATGGTGACCTAAAGAGGTGGCTGTTTTTTTAATTATAGTGCCTGTACTGAACTAGCGCTTACTTACCATATGATTCTCTATCAGTGGTCTCAGCTTATACAGCAGTCCAGCTTTAGACCACGACATGAGGAGGAACACAGGGATCTTGCTCTTCCTGGAGGGTTGACACCTACTGCCACCATGACAGGACCCAGGACCTCCATGTGTGCCTGAAGGCCCCACTTCTGCTGTGCAAGTAGTCCTAACTGGGGACTTTAGGGTGCCACCCATTCTGTACATGGGGCCCCCATGGGGCCAGCTCTGCTGGCAGACCCAGATGCTGAGTCCTGCCCAGCCTGAACCTTGCAGGCTGAGTGTGTGACCAGAGCTGGAAGTGAGCCAGTGCCCAGCTGGGTTGCCCTCAGAGATGGGCACAGCTCCCAGAGCTCAGGGGTCCAGCATGGTAGAGACACATTCACGTCCTGGGGGCTTTACAGAAACCTGCAGGGTCACTGAGTGTGCCTTGGTGGCTGCTGTAACAAATGACCACCAATGTGGTGTTTGTTGTCTTTTGCTTTGGAGGTTAAAGGGCACAATGAGTGGCATGGGGCCAAAGTCACATTGCTATGCTTGGTTCCTCTAGAGGCTTCTGCCTGCCTTTTCCCAGCTTCAGGAGACAGTCTGCATTCGTTGGCTTATGGGGACCAGTGTTGCATCCTTACAGCTCCCTCTCTGACCTGCAGCTTCCTGCCTCCCTCTCAGGACATTGTGACTTCACTGGGCCCAGATAATCCAAGTGGTCCCCATTTCTGTACTTAATCCTATCTCAAGAATCCTCTTGTCCCAAGTGGTGACATAGCCACAGGAGCCAGAGTATAGAGCAGGGCTATCTTTGGGGACCAGTGTTCTGCCCTCACCATCCTTAGGCAGCCTCTGCTCTGCCTCTGGGGCAGTAGGACCCCACCCATTCAGATGCTTCCTCCCTGGCTGTCCTTTAGTGAGCAAGTTTTATCAACTTTATTTCCCGTGCCCTGACCCTTGCAGCCAGGACTCTGAGCAAAATGACACCACAGGCCCTTGTTCTCAGATTCCTAAGGCTGTCTGTGGGCCTTGAGGGGCTGGGAACTGACTGCCGGACCTCCTGGCTTTGTCCAGGTGGGGTGGGCCAGGGCAGCACAGCGGGGCACAGCCAGCTTTGCGGATTGGAAATTGAGTTTTATCACAAGCGTTGATACTTCACAACACTGTGCCAGTGTGGCATGGAAAGATTCACACATTAGCTTAAAGCCATGTGCTTTTCTTGTCCCTGCCCCAGTGTCCTGTCTGTCTCCAAAGGAACCCCCATGTCCCCCTCTGGAGTTCTTGCCTGTATCTGGAGTCTTCTGTTAGGATGGGGTGGGATGTGGGCAGCCAGCAGGGCCTTGGTGGCGCACACAGCCTTATTGACCCAGGAGCCCAGGACCTCTTGAGTGGGAGATGGAGGAGGGTTCTCTGTGGAGGGACAGCAAACAGAGCACAAGTGCCTGTTGGTCAGAGCCAGCAGATGAGCATCTGGTGTGGGGTGCTTTTGCTGTGTTCATGCATGCTTTTGGCGTTTGCTGAGTGGTCCAAGCATGTTACAGGCCTGTGAACTTCGCCTCAGGAACTCAGCCCCATCCTCAGAGGTGCAGCTTCCAATGTAACCATGGAAAGCAAGCATTGCTTCATGGTCAGCTGACAGCAGCCTTTTCCCACACTTCCCCACTTGTTCTCAAATTGTGTGGTGGGGCGTCTTTCACCTTGCATGGTGGGTTGGGGTGGGGTCTCCTTGCTCTTTGCGTTGACAAGAATTGCCATTGCTTAGGAAGTGCAGAACTTTATTCCTTCCTTCTCTCCCTGCTCTGTGTTCTCGTTCTCTCTTTCTAACAGCTTGATTGAAATGTAATTCATGTACCCTGCAGTTACCCTTTTTAACTTGTACAATTCTAAGGATTTTAGGATGTCCCCAGACTTGTGTAACCATCACACAATCAGTTTTAGGACATTTTCATCTCTCTACAGAGAAACCACTTAAGCTAGGGTGCATTGTAGGGTCTTCACTGTCTGGCCTCTCACAGAGCTCGGTATCTTCAAGGTCCCTCCATGTCATAGTGTATGGCAGAGCCTTGTCCTTTTCATGGCCAAATGATGCTCCAGCATGTTGACGCTGCATGGGTCTGCCCTCTGTGGATGGGGGTCTGGGTAGTTTGCATCCTGTGGCTGTTGTGACTCGTGCTGCTGTGGACATGTGAGCATGTGAGCTTTCAGGTGGATGTCTGTTTTTATTTCACTTGGGCTCGTTCCCAGGAGTGGATGGACTGGCCACGTGGTAGCTGCTGTTAACCTTCCCAGAGGCTGGTGCTGCAGCGGTTGCATTCCCCAGCCAGGCATGAGGCTGCATCTTCCCCCAGCTCTTGTCCCTCCTGATCCTGTTACCCTGATGGGAGTGAAGGGTCCGTCCCTCCTGTGGTTCTGATCTGTGTCCTTTCCCATGTTCACTAGCCACTGTAGGTCTGCTTTGGAGAACCCTCTGTTCAGGACTGGTCCAGTTTTTAATGAGCTATTTGTCTTTCATTGTCTAAGGCTCCACCTCTTTTTTTTTTTTTTTTTTTCATTGCTGGGCTTTGAACTCAGGGCCTATACCCTGAGCCACTCTACCAGCCCTTTTTTGTGACAGGTTTTTTCGAGATAAGGTCTCATGAATTATTTGCTGTGCTGGCTTTGAACTGTGATCCTCCTGATAGCTGCCTCCTGAGTAGCTAGGATTATAGGTGTGACCCACTGGCACCCAGCTAAGGCTCTACTTTTTGGTGTGGCACAGCACTGTGGACCATAGTACTCTTTTTGGACAGCTCTGTGACTTCCCTCTTGGGGACTGTCATGAACTGTAGGCAGTTTTGGTAACTTGGGGGTGGTTCTCACCACTGAACTTAAGTCAGACTCTTCCCTCCCTTTCTGTCTCCTTCCCTCCCTTCTTTTTTTGTGGTACTCGGGATGGAACCCAGGATCTCACACATGCTAGTCACCCTGCCCTCCTTTTTTATCTTTGAAGTGTGTACGTGTATGACTTTTATTCCTTGTCTTTCACAGAACAAGGCAAGGACTATGGTGTGGAGATTAGGAACCATTTAAATTTTCTCCTTTATAATTTAACTGCTAAAAAAAGCCATGTCAAAATGGGGCGTGCTGCTTTGTGCTTGTAATCCTGGCACTCAGGAGGCTGAGGCAGGAGGATCATGAGTCTGAGGCCTGTCTGGGCTACCTAGTAAGATAAAAAAAAAAAAAAAAAAACCTAATGAAAAATAGTCATTCACGGTCCACTGCCCAAGCACAGGGATTCCTTGTCAGTGTGCATGTGCGGAGAACCTGCCTGTCCTGCTTCTCAGGTGGCAGGTCATCTCCAAGGCAGGGTTTTGATGTGAGACGCTGCTGCACCCACTTTCCAGTACCCTGTGCAGTGTATTGAGTCCCCAGTTTGTACAGCACGAATCTCAAGCCTACGCAGACAGCATAGCCACCAGCAACAGACCAAAGGTGTATATCTGACTGGGGGCTCAGAGCTGTCCGTTGGACCACCCAGCCCTAGGGCTCTACCTGCCCTGTATACTCTGGCCTAGGCAGGAGATGAACAGGCAGCATTGCCAGCAGACTGTGCTGTCCTCTGCCCCAGGCAGAGGGCTGGGCTGGTAGAGGCAGCCCCTCCTGCAGAAGAACCTGGAGACCCCACTACCATTGTCACCCTGGGGGCATGAGGAGGCTGTGTGGAGGCAGACAGGACAAGGGAGCTGGTGGGAGCCTGTGAGGCCTGGGGCCCATTCCCCACGTGGGTGGGAGACACAGGTGGTCACAGAAAAGCCTAGCTGGGCTCTGGGCCCACTATGGCTTACTCTCCAAGAGGCTCTGACCTCCCCTGTGGCCTCTGTGCGCTCTGCAGTCAACCACGAAGAGGGAGGCTGTTGTCCAGAGTCTTCATGCCTCCCACCAAAGGATGCACAGCTCTGATATGTGCTTCCTGCCACCGCCACTGAATCTGGGCTGCAAGTGACATCCTGAGGAGCTGGCCTTTGGCCCAGCCATTTAGGACTGGGGAACAAAGCTGAGACCAGGAAGTAATCATGCCCTGTCTACCCCCCATCCCCCAACTCTCACCACATCTGCCCAGGCAGTTCACTGCTGTGCCTTCCTGTGGCTCCCCTGCCCAGGTCATGACACTCATGTTCCCATCAGGGACTTCATTTCTACTGCTCCCCAAGGACAGCTGTGGAAGTCCTGCCTCTGCCTGCACTTGTCATGCAGCACTGGGTGGGAGGGGACTGTGGGATCTAGTGCATCTGAGCGGCTGGTGGGGGTAACAGGTGGGGATTTGAGTACTGGGCCTGGCAGAGGGTGAGGGACAGTTTGGTGGGGGGCGGAAGAGCTGAGACTTGTGGGCTGGGTCAGAGCTTGGTGGGAGCAGCTCTTGGGTAGACCACCAGGATTATGATGCCTGCTGTTCTAGAGTGCTGTTTGACCAGCGCTTTTCTTTGTAGACACTGACAGAGAGCCCTCGTTCTCCTCTGTCCACAGTGCACTCATGGCCATATGGCAGACTCGGCTCTATACCTACCCTGAAAGGAGAAGCTAAAAGGATTTGGTACACAGAGCTCAGGCCGGGCTCTGGCAGGGTGTCCCCATTAGTGGCCCCTCACCACAGGCCAGCCAAGGCTGGAACTCTCAGAGCCAGGTCTTGGCTGCAGGCCCAACCCTGTATGCCAGGATTGTGGGTGGCTGAGGACACTTAGCTGACGGAGGACAGGCAGCAAGGCTAAGCCTTTGGCCTTGCTTCAGCCTTCATGAAGGTGGGAGCCTCTGGGGACTCCAGATTCAGCTCTGCAGCTGATTACTAGCTGTGTGCTGCCCTCTAGTGTCCATTGCAGGCAGCACTTTGGGAACCCAAGACCCCCATCTTGCTAACAGGGAGACCTCTTCCAGGATAGGGGCTTTCTGCCTCTCTCTTCCTCCTAGGGCCACTGAGGATGTGCGTGTGTGGGGGGGTGGACTTTTTTTTTAATGTTGGATATTTTTGAGATAGGGTCTTGTGAATGATTTGCCTGGGCTGGCTTCGAACTGCATTCTTCCTGATCTGTGCCTCCTAAGTAGCGAGGATTACAGATGTGAGCCACTGCATCCAGATGATCTTGTGTTCTCAGGGCCCCACAGACCAGCTCCCCCGGCCAATCTGAGCAGTAGGTGTGGTGCTCAGCAGCCTTGTCCTGCAGCAGCTCGGGTGGGGGGAGGTGAGCCATTTTTCTGACCAGGCCACCAGCTCTCCTGGTCAGGGCACCCACTTTGGGCCTGCCAGCCAGCCAGGGGTAACCCAGGGTACTCACAGCTAGGCCCTGCCTGACAGATCAGGGTCCGCTGCTCACCAGTGGGACAGTGTCACCTGCCAAAGCCCAGCCACTGCTCTTGAGTGTGTACCCGGCTCTGAGGTATATGCACTGATTTGAGCCCCATGCCGTGGCTGTGGATGAGCCTCTGATGAGAACACTTTCATTTCCAGGGCCTCTGGTGAACAGGAGTGCACGGGCCTCAGTTGCCTTGGCTTCTGAAACTAGGACACTTCTGGTTTTAATTAGTTGGAGTCAACTTGGCCTTCGTGCTCAGTGCAGAGCAATGAGACGCTCAGTTTCCTCTCTCACCCTAGCTCAGCTGCCGCCTTTGTCCTCCTGAGGCTGCGGGTATTTTTAGCATGATCTGAGGGAAAAGGTGACACAGGATGGCAGAGTGGCACTGACTTGCTCACCCTCTCATTTCCCCCACAGGTGTGGTGCCCACACAGCTGCTGCAGCCATGGGGTCTGAGGACCATGGGGCCCAGAACCCCAGTTGTAAAATCATGACATTTCGTCCAACAATGGAGGAGTTCAAGGACTTCAACAGATATGTGGCCTACATAGAATCACAGGGAGCCCACCGGGCGGGCCTGGCCAAGGTGGGTGACCGGGCTGCCTTCTCTGAAGGTGCTTGATTTGTTTGCTTGGCCACTCTGGCTGAGTCTAACAACTCCCGTGTGAGGACTTCTCGCCAAGTGCCAGGCTACTTTGTGTGCTCTGGAGTTGATTGGTGATGAGTGTGGACCCAGGCCCTGGGGAGCAGTGGGCTGAGTTGGGACACAGACCCTGCTGTGGTGAGGTACGGTAGCATTCTGGACCTACGCTAAAGCCCCACCCCAGGGATGGGGAAGTCAGGAAGGAGGCCTTTGGGGAGGCGGTACTGGAGCCAGAGTTTTTGCCTTTAATTCCTAGTTAGACAACAGTGACCCAGGTAGAATGGGCTGGCTGCTCTCTCATAGATCTTTTTGGTCTTCCCCAGTGCATGTGTGCATTAGTGTGAGTGCATGTGCACGCGTGCCAGCACACCCCTGTGTCGTAGCATGTGGCTTTCTGTGCATTCTGCAGGTCTCTGTGTTTCAGTGAGTGTCTGGGGAGATTAATTAATAACCATGCGTATTTGGAGTTCACGAGTCACTCCTGGGACACTTTGCTGTTGCTTTATCTAGGACTAGGATACCATGTGCAAATGGTCCCTGCAAAGCGCAGGTGCAGGCTCTTGGTCTGGAAGCAGTGTAGGGAGCCTGTGGACAAGTGGGCGCAGCAGGCGTGTACCAGCAAAACTTTGGTCATGGACCCCGGCTGTGCATTTCACATCCTTGTCACAGCTACAAGACACTCTTATTTTTGTGTATTCCCCCAACCATTTAGAGATGGTGAAAAGATTCTTCACTTGAAGGCCATAGGAGAGCAGGCAGGTGGCTGGATTTGGCTTGGAGACTGCGTTTGAGGGAGCGAGCATCCTTGGACACCTCCTGTGGTCCTCCACTGGGGTTTGGTTGGTTTCGTAGCTGCCTTTCATCTTCCCTCTCAGCTCTTGTGCCTCTGATGCCACTCATCACTTCTCATTTTCTGTCACCTTACATCATTGCCATTTCACTTCAGTTGCTTGCTGGCCTGGCTTTCCTTCCTGCTGCTTTCAGCATCTTCTGTCCTGAGCTGTCCCCTCTGCTGACCTGTCTTTCTTGTCTTCTCCCACCTCTGCCTTGTGCTTTCCCTCTCCGTATGCTTGGCCATCTTGTCCTGATGTCTGCTTTAAGTGCTTAATTCTGATGGTCCAGGTGTGTGCTGGCTTATATGCATTCCTGGCAAACTGTGTAGAGCAGACGTTTCTAGGGCTGAAGGTTTCTGAGCCTGTTTCCATCCTCCTGGTTTTGCAGGCTCCTCTCCCTCTCTGCTGCCACATTCTCTTTTACTGCTGTCATGTGTAGGAGGACGGCAAGATGGTGGCGAGGTCCTGCGTGGCCTTGGAGGCATGCATAGCCATGAGCATGTGAGAGTAGGTTCGGGGGAGGTTGGTGCCATGCATGCAGGCAGTGGGAGCCTCTGGCACCTGCAGTCCCATTGACACACATGGCACACTATGCACACATCCTCCTCCCATCGCCTAGGGACTGATGGGCTCAGGGAAGTATCTGCTTCTGGGTACCTCTGCTTTTTCCACATAGGCCCTTGACTCTTGGAGCACCAGCCTCTCTGCAAAGGACCACAGACCCCTCTGGCTGTATGTGAGCTGTGAGGACAGTGTCCCCTCACCCAGTCTCATGCGCACGCACATGCCTGCATTCTGGGGTTTACCTGCTTTCATATATCTGTCTTTGCTTGCCACCCCCAAAACCCTGCAGCTCCATGGAGCTGGGTGGGTGGGTCGGTGCCACGAGCACAGTGAGCAGGGCTGGGAGCTAGAGATGCCAAGTGCAGGAGCCTACTTGGGATGTGGAGCCTAGATCATGCTCCTCTGCCACTGAGAATACTGTGAGTCCCCAGGCCCTGTGGGAAGTGCTGGTTGGGAGGAGTCATGGCGTGGAGTCCTTGGAGTTCAGGCTTCTCTCTCAGTTCTTGTATGACATCTGCAGCTGCTTGAAGCGCAGCCAGCACCCCTCAGCTACCTCATGGCTATGGACGAGTGTCACTGTACCTCCTCCCAGCGCTGGTTGAAGCAGGCCCTCCAGGCACTCCGTGTCTGCATCAGCCTAGGAGCCATGCCAGGCCTGGATTGTGCCGAGTGTGGTATTGTGTCAGATGCTCTCATCTTCTCTGGTGCTTCCTTAACCATGCTTTGCCTGGAGTGTGCCTGGGGGTCCCTCTCCACAGGGTTCTGAGGGAGTTGGTACAATGCCCCTTTGTCCTAAGGGATCTGCCTAAGGCCACGGCTCTGAGAGCAGCGGGCTCAGCATGTCATGGACATGCTGAGGAAACTGAGGCACAGAACCTAGCCAGGGGCCCTCACTAGGAGGGGGCAGGGCTTGGACCAGAGCCTATGGCCCAGGCCAGTTCAGACATAGGGACACAGTGAAGACAGCCACAGGAGGATGACACCATCACCCTTCAAAGACAAATGTGGGGGCAGAACTCAACCCGACCTCCATCCAAGAGCTGTTCATCACCATGCCCCTCCCCGAGGTGAGCATGGACCCTAGGGGTGTACCTAGAATTCCCTTCTTTCTGGATGTCCATGTGGCTGCAGGGCCTATCACAGAGGGGACAGTGGACACAGCAGCCCAGGGCTCTTTGGATAGCAGACCCAGGACTGAAACGTTGCTCTGGATTGCTGTGGCGGAGGTTCCAGGCTGGCGTGGCTCCCTGTGGTAGGACATGCAGCACTTACAGCAGAGGTGCTGTGAGGGAGTCGGCAGCCTGTGCAACACACAGGCATCATTGCATTGTGGCTGCAGCTGACTTAGAGTGGCTAGAGGAGACAGCTCCATAAGGAGTCAGCTCGCATCCCTCATTAGCTCTAAATTAGGGTCTCTCCCCATGGACTCTGGGTGGAGTCCTTCTCTGTGGGGTGTCCCAGGTCCTGCAGGTGCTGAGCAGTGCCCCTGGCCTCCACCACTGCATGGCAGGAGCTCCCTAGTCACGACAGCCACACACATGTCCAGATACCAGCCGGGGTCTGGGGAGCAGGGAGGGGGATGGGGCAGAAGCCCTTAACCAAGACCCCTGCTGACTGCTGTTTGGGGTGTGATGGTAAATGAACTTGCAGCACCTCTCCGCTGTCAGCGGGCAGCTGGGGTGGAAGTGTTTGCGCTGCAGGTGAAATGTGGTCTTTCGTCAACGTGATGGCAGAGTCCCTGAGGGTGGTAAGTGTTTCAGCTGTTTTGGAAGCTGTCAGTGAATTTAGTGTCCATCCCGTCTTCTCAGTGACCCTAAGTGGGTGAGGTCAGCCTCCAGAACAATTGGCTTGTGAGTTGAAATGTGAGGTGAGGTTCCTTTTCCCAAAGCTGCAGGACCAGGAGGGAGACTGGGGGCCTGCACGCCCCCACACAGGCTGCCTGAGGCTTAGGGTGGCTGAGGAGGCCAGCTCAAGGAGCTGCGCTGTGGCCTCAGGCCCTCACCTCGGGGAGGGGCTAAGATGGGACCCCTGCATGGTGATGAACAGCTCCTGGATGGAGGTCGGGTGAGTTCTGCCCCCACATTTGTCTTTGAAGGGTGATGGTGTCATCCTCCTGTGGCAGTTCACATCTGAACTGGCCTGGGCCATAGGCTCTGGTCCAAGCCCTGCCCCCTCCCAGTGAGGGCCCCTGGCTAGGTTCTGTGCCTTAGTTTCCTCAGTTGTCAGATGGGGGCAGTGCTTTACTGTCCCACAGGGTTGCTGCAGGGAGCAGATGTGCTGGGCCAGCAGGCTCAGCATGACACCCCGTGTGACAGACTCCTGCCCAGCCTGCCTCCTGTTTGGAATTGTTGCCCTCCCCACGGCCTCATGCTGCTGGCCTCTCACCCAGCACTTGTGCCCTCTTCTCAGGACTTCTGGCTTCTTCATTTGCTACAGAGCATCCTTCTCTCTCATAACTGGTCTCTTCTGTCAGAATGTGGGTACCAGAAGGGCCAGCGTCTCTGTCTCCCAATGTTTCCTAGTCTTCAGGACTAAGAAGGCCGCATAGCAGGTGCTGGGTACAGCTGGGCTATGTTGAGGCCCTGAGCTGCTCTGCCTCCATCCTGCAGGCTCATCTTTGCCCTGGACGCATGCATGATGGGTACACTACTGTTTCCTGCTACTAGGGGTGCCAATGTGCAGTATCCTCCACCAAGCACACAGGTTCAGGTTTGAAAGCATCTCAAAATGTGAGGTCTTTCAACCCATAGCTCATGCCCATAATCCTACCTACTTGGGAAGTTGAGATTGGGAGGATTGCAGTTCCAGGACAGGCCAGGCAAACAGTTCATGAAACCTCATCTTAACAGAAAAAAGTTGGGTGCAGTGGCATGCACTTGTCATCCAGGAATGGTGGAAAGTGTAAAATAGGAGGATTTCAGGCCAGGATGGCCTGGGCAAAATGCAAGATCTGTCTCCAAAATAACCCGAATAAAAAGGGCTGGAAACATGACTCAAGTGGTAGAGTGCCTGCCTCGAAGCACAAAGACCTAGCACCATCAAAAAAGATTTCCCAAGTCCTGAGCTCTCAGGACACACAGCCCCAACCCCAGGTGTTTGCTCAGTTTGTGACCATGCAGATACATGACAGGGTTGGCTCTAGTGCCGGGGAAAGTTCCTGGCTGTCCAGGCCCCAGTCCAGCTGCAGAGGGACCTGCTGGCAGCCTCTGGGGTTGTATCTCTGTCTCAGCAGGTACCAGCACTCTCTGGGGACCTTTGATGAAGGCCTTGGGCTGGGGGCTGAGAGATCCTACAGGAGGTATGTTGCTGACTCCTCTCTCCATCTTGTAGATCATACCCCCGAAGGAGTGGAAGCCACGGCAGACATACGACGACATTGACGATGTGGTCATCCCAGCCCCTATCCAGCAGGTGGTGACGGGGCAGTCAGGCCTCTTCACGCAGTATAACATCCAGAAGAAGGCCATGACCGTGGGAGAGTACCGCCGGCTCGCCAACAGCGAGAAGTAGGTGGAGTAGGGCACAAGCAGGCCAGGCTCCAGAGGTGCAGAGACAGCAGCTCTACAGCCCCCCAAGGCACACGTGGCCCAATTTACTCAAATCCCGTAGTTCTCAGAGGCCCAGCTTAGGCACACAGCCTGCCTACACCCTTATCATGGCTGCTTCATGTTGGGTCCTTGCCTTGTTCTGTCCCTGGAGTGTTTCCCACACCCTTTAGAACCCCCAGAGAAGATTCCCTGGCATGCCTACCATTGCCACTTTCTGGCCCCACTCAGCTGAGTCACACACTCCTTACATTCAGTTCATCTGACATACACGTGGACACATAGCCACCATGTTCTCTGCCCTGTGTCACCCCAGACCCTGAATCTTTGTATCTCCAGTTCATATCTTGGCTCTTGCAAGTGGCTCATGAGGGGATAGCCTGGTCACCCAGTGTCCCTGCCCCCTTCCTTGGTCTGCAGAGGGGGGACAGGAGCCACTGAGCTGTCTGAGCCTTTGCTCCAACTGCCCCCAAGGTGTGTTCTGACCTGGGTCCAGGGCCCAGTTCTGGGGAGGATGGACCTGTGGGGGCACTCACATTATCTTAGGGAACACCTGTTTCCCTACCCCCAAGGAAATGGCTGCATCTGCACCTGGGCAGAGCCTTTCCACTGGGTGTTGTACTGTGTTCCTTGGGTCCAGGGTGGGTACTTGGCACCCTGCCCTGCTCTGAGCCTATTTGGGGTGCTGTTGTCCCTAGGTACTGTACCCCAAGACACCAGGACTTTGACGACCTGGAACGCAAATACTGGAAGAACCTCACCTTTGTCTCCCCCATCTATGGGGCAGACATCAGCGGCTCTCTATATGATGACGTAAGTCCCAGGCCAAGGCCCTTGATCTGGAGCCCAGGGCTTCTGTTCCTGGTAAATGGGGAGGGAAGGGTCACCTTGATCTTGACTGAGGAGGGTAAGAACCTTGTCAAAGATCACCTGTGCCTTTTCAGGTGCCAGTGACTCAGGGTCTTAGGCTGACAAACACAAGCCTGGGTGAGCAGATTTCCCATTCACTCCTACTAAAGTCTAGAGCCTACCTGGTCCTTCACAGCTGGCCTCAGGAGGGCTGCCCCAGCTGGGGGGCACAGCATATGTGGGCTCAGACCTTTCCTGGAGTTTCTGCACCCTGTTGATCCAGCACATTCTCTCACAGTTCCTGTCGCCCCATCTCCTTGTAAGAGTCACCCTGAGCACCATCCTCACCTGCCTCAGACAGGAGGCCCCTGGGGTCATGGGCAAGGTTAGGACCTGTGCTCCTGGGCCTGTCTGAGGGCATGGGGTGTGCTCCCCTGCCCAGGGTTGGACCTCCCAAGCTCCTGGCTTCTCATGCACATTGCCGGGGCAAGAGGAGTGGGGCTGGGAAGGAGGGCAGCTTTCACCTCTGTGACCACCTCCAGGAAGTACAGGAGGCCACTGGCCCTGTCTTCTTTCTGGGGATGAGACAGGAGCCATTTTCTAGGGCCTCTGCAGGACCAACCCAAGAGAAGGCAGCATGGCAGCTTCTGTTCCTTAAGCACCCACCCGTTCCACCTGTGATTTTTAATGGTTGTGGCTCTGAGACGCCCTGCCGTCTTGTCTTAGTCACACCCCACATCTAATTTGGAGCTGAGGTTGGAATCCTGGTGTCTGGTGGTGGCACCAGCTTGCTGTGCCCTGTCACCCTGGTCACCTCTACCAATTTTGACTTGGACACAGCTCTTTAATGCCAGCCAGCATCCTGCCACAGCACTGCTGCCAACTGTGTAGTGGCCACGTCTTGGATGGGGCCTTGTCCCAACAGCCTCAGAGGGCTGGAGGGCGTAGCTCCCACAGTGAAGGAGTGGCATGAGTCAGATGCTGTGGCACGCAGCTTCCCGTGTGAGGCTGTTTTTATTTTTTGTTGTTGTTGTTAGTTACATCTTCTATTGATCCACGCACAATCAGTTGTCTTCTAGTTTGTTGAAGCAGTAAGTCAGACAGTACTTGCCATAGTAATGTCTGTACTTGCCATAGTAATGTCTGTCAAAGTGGCTAGCCGTAAAAACTCCAGCACCACATTCATCTGAAGGACACTTAAGATGAAGACGACTGATTTTCCCATTTTCATTCACCTTACGGTATTTCAGAACAGCCTCTGAACTTAACCTTCTTTTTCTTATGCTTAATTCTTCTTGGAAATCGTGTAAGACTTGCTCTTCGTAGCACCACCACGAATTCTACACACCAGATGAAGGGTAGACTCCTTTTGAAGGTTGTAGTCTGATAAAATGTGTCCATCTTCTACTTGCTTACCAGCAAAGGCCAGGCTCTGCCGACTAGGAGTTCCTTCCTTATCCTGGATCTTGGCCTTGACACTTTCTATAGCATCAGAGGGTTCAGCCTCAAGTGTGGCGTCTTCCCAGTGAGGGTTTTACGAAAGTCTGCATCTTGGATGTAGTTCCATGGCAGATGGTGGATTGGAAAGTGATTGTTTTTTTTAAATGGTGTTACTGAGGTATAATTCACCCAATTAAAGTACAATTCAGTGACCTTTAGTACATCCAGAGCTCTGCAGCCATCACCTCTACCAATTTTAGAACTTTCTTGTCAACCCACCAGCAGTCACCCTGTCCCCTCCCCCACTTCCTGTCTCTGGATTCGCCTGTTCTACACGTTTCCTATCAATGGAGTCACACTGGGGATTTTTCTGCCTGGTTCTCTTACTGAGCACAACGTCTGCAGGGTCCCTCCATGTTGTGGCATGTCAGTGTTGTGGCAGTCATCGTGGCTGTATGATGTTCCTATGTGTTGATGGACCTTGCTGCATGTAGCCATCCATCCGCTGAGGCGCATTTGGGTGGTCTCCACTTTTTGGCTGCTGTGAATATCCAGCTGTGAGCATTCCTGTCCGAGCCCTTGCATGGCTGTGGGTTGTTTTTCCTCTCAGCTGTGTGCCTGAGGGAATTGGTAGCCGTGTGGTTCCTCTCGGTCTTCCTTGGAGTGGAGCCACTGTGCTGAGTTTCTTCTACAGCAGCTGCGTGGGGCTCCACTCCCCCAGGCAGGCTCGGGGTTCAAGGCTCTCCACATCGCCCAGCACTCAGTCTCTGTCCCTGGGATGTGACTAGTCATATTGAGTGTCTTTTCCTGCGCACGCTGCCACTGTACATCTTTGGAGAAGTGTCTATATTCTTACACATACTCGACTTGTTTTTTCATTTTTGACTTTTATGTATTTTTCATACATTAAGGGTGTGAGATGTGAGTTCCTCATCTAATGTGTGACTGGCAAATATTTTCTCAATTCTCCATTCTGTGGGTTATCCTTTGAAACCCCCAAATTTTAATTTGGTAAAATCCAACTTGTCTCTTTTTTCCCTTCATTTATTGCTTGTGCTTTTGGTGTCCCATTTAAGAATCAATTGCCAGCTCCAAAGTCAAGAGGATCTATTATGCTTTCTTTAAGACTTTAGTAGTTTTGGATCTAGGTCTGTGTCCATTTTGAGTGGGTTTTGGGTGAGTTTTTGTATGTGATGTGAGTTACGGGTTCACATTCACTCTTTTGGGGCTGGGGACACAAGTGGCAGAATGCCTGTCCAGCAAACTTGAGGCCCTGAGTTCAGCCTTGTGGGAATGTCATAGAGGTGGATCACACAGTGTCATCTTTTCACACTGCCATCTTCTCTCATCCACTACAGTTAGGCTCCTCTGTGTCTTTTTTTTGGCTCGATGACCCATTTCTTTTTAGAGCTGCTGATATCCCATGGTCTCGATGGACCCATTTACTCATCCACTTCTCTGCTGAAGGACATCTCTGTTGCTTCCAAGGTGGGCAGTGACACAAAAACCTCATGCAGTTTTTTGGGTGAACATAAGTTCTCAGCTTCGTTGCTGAAGAGATTTCAGGATCAAATGCTAAGAAAAGATTTAACTTGCCAAGAAGCCGCCCACCTGCCTTCCAAGTAGCCACACCACACGTGTTCCCCGCTCTCCATGATGGAGCGTTCCCGCTGCTCCACGTCCTTCAGCATTCAGCAATGTCAGTGCTCTGCATCTTGGCCATTCTGCTGGGGTGTGGTGGTGTGTCACTGTCACTTTAGTTTGCAGTTCCCGCTGGCATATGACATGGAGCATCTTTCCATGGGCCTGGGGAGACATCTGTTCAGGTCTTTGGCCCATTTTTTCATGAGGTTGTTTGCTTACTGTTGGGTTTCAACAGATCCTTGTGGCTTTTGAATAAGTCCTTTACTACATGTGTCCTTTGCAAATCTTTTCAGTCTGTGGCTTGTCTCCTTGTTGTCTTAAGGATTCTGTGAGACTGTTTTTAAATGAAAGTGGAAGAGTTAGCGTCTGGCCCAGTGAGAAGCTCTGGCCTCCTCTTGGGCGTTATTGCCAGCCAGCCAGTAGCAATGGCCTCATGAAGGGGTCAGTGGCCATGTGTGACCTTCAGTGTGCCAAGGCCAGGCCAGTGAACTGCATTTGCCTCAGGTCCTGGGGGAAGTTAGGGCCTTGGCCCACTCATTTGCCATGCCTGACATAGAGCAGCACTCTCCTGTTATAGATGGGGAAACCGAGGCCAAGAGCACAGAGGCACCTGGTCTGGTCACAGGATGAATCAGCACCTCCTCCTGTCCCCTTCTGTCAGCCTGCAACACGAGCCACCACATTGAGAGCGTGTTGTGTGGACAGTGGGGCAATTAGACTGGGCTCTGGGTGGACAGTGACCTGCCTGGTGTCCCCTGCACCGACCTTCGGCAACCTCTGTTTTCGAGGATGTGGGCTTCTTACCCTCACAACAAGCAGTCAGGGAGCTGTGCTCCAGGCTCCCACCAGGGTCACCTGGCTGAGTCAGCACTGGTCCAGCCTTGTCCAAGAGCCTGGGACTTGGGAACAGGAACGCTGGCCCAGGGTGGATCTGGGACGGGAGAGGACGCTCAAGTTCACGAGCGCACTGAGCTCCTGCTCTGTGTCTCAGCGTCACAGCAAGCTTGGCCCTGTCTCCAGGGGCCAGAAGTTGATTAACGTGTATTTACGGAGCTTTTAGGACAAGGCAGTGTTTGTTTGCTTGTGGCATTAAGAGCCCTGTTGGTGCGTGGGGATTCTATCCTGGTTTGAAAGCTGTCTTGTCTCCTCTGACAGCAGGTGCCAGAAAGAGCTGTCATTGAGCCATTGAGCCTGGGCTCCGGCACCAGTGCTGGGTTCGTCCCCTTGGAGATTTTGTTCCTCCTTTGGTGTCGTTGACTTAGAAGCAGCTTAGTTATTCACAGCTGAGCTGCAGACCTCACAATGCGGTCCCACCTCACTCCATGTGCGTACACACAGCATAGAATCCAAAGTAATGCGGGGTGTGGGGGGCAGGCCGAGTGGCTGCACACTGCCTTCTTATTCACAAAGCTGGGGCTGGCAGAAAGCCCAGGGCCCAATCAGCCCCACTGGACCTCAGACATAAGGTGGCTGAGGGGCTGATGTGGGTAGACTTTGGAGTGACTGACAGCCCCTGAGCTGCCTGGGCCTCTACAGAGGCCAGCTCAAACCCTGGGATCCAAAGGTGGGCAGATCCAGTTTTCCTGTTCTTCCCTGGGTGTCTGGGGGGAGGAGAGGGATAGGCTAGGGCTAGGGGTACAGGTGTCCTGGGCACAGGTGTCCTGGGAATGATACCACCTGACTGCGTGCTCTGCTGCCCCACAGGATGTGGCCCAGTGGAACATTGGGAACCTCAGGACCATCCTGGACATGGTAGAACGTGAGTGTGGGACCATTATTGAGGGTGTCAACACCCCCTACTTGTACTTTGGCATGTGGAAGACCACCTTTGCCTGGCACACTGAGGACATGGACCTCTACAGCATCAACTACCTGCACTTTGGGGAGCCCAAGTCCTGGTGAGTGCCCTGATGCATGGCTGGGCTGGTGTCGGGGCCGTACGGGTGAGGCAGACGAAGGCCAGGGTGTGATGGCTGGAATCCTCAGGGCAGCCCTGGTTTGCCCATCAGGTTTGAGGCTGGAGCACAGTGCTCCCTCCTAAGATTGGAGACTCCCGGAGACATGGCTGCTGTCCAGAGCTGGGCCATGCCAGGCTCCGTGTCCCTGGGCCTCACAGCAACAACTGCTGTGCCCCTGACTAAATGATGACCACAGGCCTGGACTGTGAACATCCCCTAGCCTTGCTTTTGGCCTCTAGCCTGTGGTCTGCAGGACACCCTTGCAGATTGGCCACAGCTGGGCCAGGTATCGTGCTGAAGGTCACACTGTGGAGATGGGGGTTCTACTTCTTAAGCGCAGTGGGCCCTGATGGCTGTGTGAGTATCCCAAATGGTCTGTCCCTGGCTTGCCTCTGTGGCATCTGGACAGAGCTGCACTGTGTAGGGCACTGCCTTCGTGTCCAGCTTCTGGCAGGACGCCTGTAAGCCACCTTCTGTCAGAATGTCTGAACTTCATCGGCACACTCCAGCATGGCTCTGGAGGAAGGGGCTTTCCATATTCCCACTGTCCAGATATCTTAGAAGCCCATTATCACAGTGCTGTCATGGCTCAGGGTTAGAGGGGCTGGGCCACACTCACACAACTGGCCACGTTGAGAAGGGGAGGAGGGGCACAGCGCTGAAGGTATGCTGTGGTATCCCTCGGCTGAGAGCTGAGCCCCAGCAGTGGGGCCTTTGCCCACATGGGGATGGAGTCCCCCATTACCACGTGGAAGGCCTAGGGCCAAGTTGCTTCTCCTTACTGTTCAGGTGGCTGAGAATTTGGGGAGCAGGGTGCCCCTCCCTGGCTCCCTTCCTGCCCTTGGCCTCATACCACAAGCACCCTGAAGCTGGGTGGTGTGTGGTGTGCACTCCAGGTGCTCCTTCCTCCATGCTGCTGCAATCTGTGCAGCCCTGTGCACCCTGGCCCCCATCCTCTGCCCTTGGCCACCAGCGCTTAACAGACACTAAGTACTTTGTTGTGTGGAGGTGGTGAGCATATCAGAGTTCAAGAAAGCATCTCCCTCTTCCCAGTCGGGGCTGTTCCAGTGAGGAAGGCTGAGAACAGCCATGTGGAGTCAAGTTCCCCACCCACGTGGGCTCCATAGCATTCAGGGTGTCTCTTCAGGTCCAGCCATGTCCTGAGCAACTCATGCTCAAGCCTCTCTCTAGTGGCCCTCCGTGGTCATGCAGAGCAGCCTTTCTGCTCCCATTTCTCCCTGACCCTCCTCTTTCCAGCTCACCCCTCTTCTCTGCCCCCAGGCCCACCTTCTCCTCTAATGACCAAAGCTCTCAGCTGCCCGTGTGAGTTTTTCTTCTGATGTTCTGGAAAGAGCAGGCTGACATACCCCTCGTGGGGAGCGAGCACCCTTTTTCCACCTTTCCTTTCACGATCTTCTTTCTGTAGACTCACAAATCAAACGCATCCAGGGCATGGAGCAGGTTCCTCCTGCCTCCCCTCAGGTCTGAGCAGGGCCAGCTCTCACCTCCCCTCACACAATGTGTGTGCGAGGCAGGACACAGCCATGTGGCTGCAGCTGCAGGCGGGTCTGGGTGGTGTGTGAACAGCAAACCAGGCAGGGACTGTGGAGTTGAGAGGGAACCCTGGCTCACTAGGTGACAAAGCCAGGAGCTTCCAGGTCCTCCCAGTACTGTGCATCCCACCCATGGTGACCCGGTACTGTCCTGTGTCCATCTGCACTGCATGTCGCTGCCCAGGTCTCCTGGATGAGTGGCCAGCTGGGTTGGGCCAAGTGCTGGAGGGTCCACGATGCCCAGGGCACCCTGAGCCTGAAGCTCTGGCTGAAGGCCCAGGAGGGGACGGTGGGGAGGCGTCCTGCCTGGCTTCTGGGTGGGCAGGTAGGTTTGCACCAGGAGTGACTGAGACTCTCACAGTGGCTCTCAGACAGGGCCAGCCTGCATGTGCTGTGTCCAGCCCTCCTGACCTGTGATGAGCGTTTACAGAGCGGGCTCCGCTCAGATAGGGAGGGAGGAGAGGAAGGTGCGGGGCTGAGTGTGGTGGTTCCTCTGTGTGTCCTGTGGCTGCTGTAACAAGTCACAGCACACCTCACAGGTTACTTTGGCACAGACCACTCCCTCACAGTGATGGAACTGAAGAATCCAGTCTGTCTATTGAGTTAAAGTCCAGGTAAGGCAGGCTGCTCCCTCCTGTGGCTCCAGGGAGGATCCGTGTCCCACCTGTCCCAGCTCGCGGCCCCTTCCTCCCTCTTCAGAGCAGCAGTGCAGTGTCTCCCAGCCTCTCTCTGCCTTTCACCCTCCCCCCTCCGTTTTTAAAAAATTTATTTATTTTGACAAGGTTCATTTCTGAGCTCTCTGTCCTTGGTTTCTGTGTTTTTTGTTTTGCGGTGCTGGGGTTCGAACCCAGGGCTTCTTCCATGCTGGCAAATGCTCATCACTGAACGATATCACCAGCCCTCTGCTTTCCTCTTATGAGGACCAAATGGTGACACTGGGCCCCACATGATCCAGGATGATCCCAGCTCAGGGTCCTTCACTCGATGCCATCTGTGGGTCCCTTCTGCCCTTGGAGGTGACATGTCCTCAGGCCTGTGGGAGGAGGACAGGCCATCTGCAGCCGTGACTGCCAGCCGTGGGCTCTGTGGTCTGCGTGGTGGTGCTGTGTGTGTTGGGTCCACTGCAGGTCCAGGCGTCTTGCTTTCCGTCCATATGTCTCCCTTTGAGGTGATCCACTGCTCTGTGTCAGCCATTCATCCTGGACACTTGTGGTGGGGGAGACATTTGCCTTTCAGGAAAATTTGGAGAGGTATTGATGGGCTGGTGACACCCTGCCTCACAAGTGACTTGAGTCTGGGTTTGGGGAACAGGAAATGGCATTTCCCAGTGGTAGGACCATCTAGTCCTACATAGAAAGGACCTGGCCAGGATGATCTGGCACCAACGTCCCAGTGACTGCTGTCCACACCCTGCTACCCTCCTGTCTCCAGGGCAACAGGAGGGCAGCATGGCCACTGAAGCCTTGCGGCCCCTGAGTCCCCTGCACGAGGGGTGAGGTGGACGTGCTGCTTTCCGAGGCAGCACTTGGGCCCAGCCGGCTGGCTTCCAGTAGACTGCATCTCCCTGAGGGGCCAGGGGCAACTGCACCCATTCTGGTGCCAAGTGTACAGAGCATAGGCTGCCACCGGTTCTCTGTGTAGGCCTTGGGGCAGACGTGGAGTATGCACACGTGTGCAGGTCTGTTGCACTGGGGGCTCAGCTCCTCAGTGTGGACGTGCTTGGACGTGTGGGACCAGGTGCCTCTGAGGAGATGCCCTGCAAGGCTTTGTACAGCCCATTGCCCAGATGGCCACTAGGTGGCGCCCCACCCTTCAGTACTGGACTGTGGCCACATGGAAGTTTCCCAGGTTTTCCCTGCTCAAGGGCTCCTGTTCAGCAGTGATCGGTGTCAGGCTGGCGGGAACCAGACCCCAGGAGCAGCAGAGAAGCCTGGAGGGCAGCACAGGGGCCATGCTTGTTCGGCACCTGGACACCCTTATCTCCGTGTTAGAGTCTTAAGGGGAGAAAGCCCCATCTGGGGACCATGTCTATACCACAAGTGCCAGTAAGGCCCCTCTAAACTCCACCAGTGTGCTGGCTAATGTGCCAGCAGTATGTAACCACCTGTCATGGAGAAGAAAGAACCCAGGAGTTGGGAGAGGAGTGGACTTGGCCCAGGGCTCTTTTGGGCTGTTCCCCAAAGCAGATGCAGAGTGGCCACTGCCCTGCACAAGGCTCCCCAGCCCAGGCTGCCAGTGTCAGGAGGCTAAGCGTTTTATTGCTCTGTGGGACTCGAATGGGGGATGGCACTGATCTGTGGTCTGCAGTGCTGGGCTGGAGCCCAGCAAAAGCTGTAGGGTAACCTGAATCACCTGAGCCATGGGGGCTTTAGACTGTCAGAGAAGGCAAAGCAGGTGCATCCCAGGCCTTTGGTCTGCACTAAGGCTGCTCGTGGGTTCCTGCAGCCACCTCGTTTGTGGGTAGACTTACCCTACAGGCTGATTGCTCTGTGTGTCACTGTGTCCTGCATCCTGAGCTCTGCCGAGGAGATCCCTGTGCCCTTGCTTGAGAACAGGGCAGATGGGAGGATCTTCCCACTGGGTTCTAAACTGCCCCCTGCCCCAGTGATCAGTGAAGCCCCTGCCAGGGACAGCCCTTGGTGGGGACCAGCCAATGTGTATGACACAGCATTTGTCTGGACTGTAGCCATGACCTGCCCTTGACCTTGTAGCGCTCCTGAAATCCTCATGCATGTTCTTGCGTCTCATGGCTTCCCTCCCTCCTTCCCTCTCCCCACTCTCCCTCCTTCTCAGCCTTCTTGTCTCTCTGTTCCTTGGGATGCAGTCCTGGGTCCTTGGAGGGTCTCAGCAACTGTGAGGGACACAAAGCCCCCTGCCCACACTTGCCCCCATTCCTATGAGCAGCCTCGCCCCCCAGGATTATGGGAAGCAGAATGAGCCTTCTCTGACCTTTGAGAATGCGTAAGTTCAGTCCTGGCCCTGGCATGGAGATTTTTTCCTTTTGAGTTGCCCTGGAATCTCCTTGGCCTTTCACTGGGGATCTTCCTGCGGGGGAAGGGCGTGGGGGGAAGAGCGGGCAGCTCTTTATCCCACCACTGGGAAAACATCGGCAGGGCTGCATCAGGCTCTGCATGCACATGTATGGCTGCATGCAGGCTGGTGAGGCATGGGCCTCTGAAGATGTGAGCCTGTGTGCCTCCAGCATGGGGTCAAGGTAGCCTGGGGCCATTGGGTCTGTCACCAGGGAGACTGTGCAGGGCCCTCCCCTCTGCTGCCCCACATAGTCCTCTTCCCCCCACTTCCCAGGCATTTTACTTCCCATGGCCTCCCCTGTGGGCTTGAGTAACCAGGTGAGATTAGATACTTCCTCTCCCCTCTCTCCTCCCT